TTTGGAGGAGAAGCCACTCAAGACTAAGCAGGTTTTACAGAGTTCAGTAATAATAATATTAATGATAACAATAATAATAATAAAGTAATAGTAGTAATAATAATACTGATTTATAATAATAATTTATAACAATTAGAACTTATCTTAAATACCTTCATGACTATGCATTTCAAAGAAGAGAACCCTCAACAGGCTTACTTAACTTCAAGTGCAGTTCTCTCCTGGAAAAGTTAGCCATTGTGACAGTGACTGAAGTAATGTAAATTTCTAAACATTCTTTGCAGCCAACTTGAAAAATCTAAACAAAGCTTGTAAGCAATACTATCAACATTCAGAGTTTAAACATTGTGGCAGCAAGCAAATTCAAGTTCAAATGCATGTAAGAGTTACCAAACTTCCCCTACAACACAATTTGTCTATTTACTATCTGCACTTAAATTGACATTAAATGGGGCAGCTCTATTTTTGTGTCTTGATTTATGACAAAAAGAAAGGTCTTTCTTGCAGAAAACATTTTAGCGTTCCTTTGTACGTATCTTTTCTCCTAACACTGAATTGTCTTTTGTTCCATAGCATTTCTAAACTAAAAAAACTGCATAAGAATTCTATCTTGGAACACATTTTGATGCCCTAAAGAATTTTGGTAAGGCTGAAACAGGGTGCTGCATTTTGTTTTCCAAGGTTTTTTGTACTTCATAAGTAAAAGTTACCTTGTCAAGGGCACTCATAAAGTGCTGATCACCATTCAAAACAGTGTTGATGAGTTGAACAAATTTACTATGTACTTCCAAAACTGACTCCACAAACTGAGTTGGCATCTAAAAAAGGCAGGTAAAGCAGAAAGCCAGTTATTGAGAAAAGCTGTATTATCTACACACAAATATATCTACATTAGTTGGACATTTTTTCCTATTTATTGTTTTTAATAAAAGTTAAAATCATGGTGATTAAGTCTTTGCGAGGATTGATTCTGCATTGTTGTACTTATACTACTGTGCTTGAACATGTTTTGGAAATAAAAAGTGTATGGCTACATTTACAGTCCTGCTATCAAACACAGATTTGAGTGCATACTGCTCTCATGCTATCTTTTCCACCACGCCATAAAATCCTCTATTATCCTTTTCAAAAATCATTAATGCTAGCATGTAAATACAGCAATCAAGCCAGAAAGACACTGAATAAGTAAACTGCTGCTTCTCCTAAAACTGACTTCAAGGAAATAAAATCCAGAGGAACCCTTTGAATTCTCCTACATAAGACAGTTGCAAATCAAATTCAGTGCACTGCACTTCAGTATAATATTTTGTATAGAAATCACTAATATGAATTTGAGTAGTCACTATACAGACAAGCTGGCAGGCAGCAATGCAAGAGTGTGCAATGCCCTAGCTGCATGACTCGCCAAGTGCATTCTCAGGTCACGTATTAAAAATGTTTTGATGACAAAGTACTTAATCAACACAGCGGAGCAAGTATTTCACGTTTTGAATTTATCTACATAAGGTTGTGATTTTTCATTACCGTCATGGCTCTGCATTCATTTCCCTGTGTATACACTATTAGTTTGAAAGAATAAACTCAGTAAGCTTACAAATAATTTGAAATCAAACTGTACTACAAAAAGACTTCAGCCCATTTTCAGTATGCACACAGGAGTGATGGAAGAGTAAACACTTCCGTGCAGTCAAAGAGTGAATTTGCAACAGTTCGTACCTATGTATTACTCCAGACAGAAACACTGGATGGCTAAAGTCACCATCCTTAAGCGAGCACAGATCTAGACAGCAAGACATATACAAATATAACGCCAAATGAAAGCTTGTTTCTGAACAGCAATGCTAAAGGAACAAAAATGGAATTGAGTACTTTAAATACATATGAACTGAAAAAAGTTTAACATATTTTAGTGAAGTAATTAAACGACAGTAATTTCAGAAATTACATGAAAATATGAGACTTCAAAGCTATTAGTGAAAAATACCACACTGAAATCACAACAGGATGTCAAGTCTTTACAAATAACATATAATCAAACTAAATTGGTTCCTAACGTACCAGGAACAGCAAATGCCACTGACTTAGAGAAAGAAAATATATACATGGAACAGAAGGACCTACTTGCCATGACAGCATTAAACAAACAATGAGAAATATCTAGCGGTAGTTGTTTCTGGTTAGATCACAACAATCAGCTCTCAGGATAGATATGTGTCGCACAGCTAAGTGTCCCGATTATAAGTTACAATTTATCCATAAGGTTCCAAACCAATTTCATATAGACAAAATTAAAAAAAAAAAAGAATAGACTACAAAGAAAAGAGTGAACATTTCATCAGGAATGTTAATCAAATAGGTAATTTCAGCTGCCTGAGGAAACTCACATTTTCCTGAGAAAGATTGCTGGTTGCTCTAAGGCCCTCATCATGGATATGGTTTTGTAGTTCCTGAATCATATGAGGTAAACCACTTGACACAGCACGAAGTAGAGTATACATGTTTGCCATGTCTGTAACAGAGATACATTTTTATAGAATATGCTTAGAAACACTACAAATAGACACTTAATTTAGTATCATAATTTTACAACACAACATTTCAAAGACTGAAACAAGACCAACTGCTTTGAAAAAAAAATTTAACATATACTGGATCACTGACAAAAGAAAAAAAGGAAAGAGTAGGGCTAATATCAGTATTTACTGAGTAAAGTCATTGTAACTACCTCACTCTTTGGAGAGGTGGCCTAGTATGGAAAAGTATTGTGCCAGTTTATTTTAATCCTTGGCCTCGTTAGATCTCCCTTAGCAGCGGCTGACTAAAATCAGTTTAGATATCTTCCTGACTTTTTGTTTTCCTCCAGCAGTAGCTTGAAATTTTTCTGAAGTTAGAAAAGCTGTAAGTAAGCAACTGCTTTATTTTTTTTTTCTTTCCAAAAAGGGATCCAAGCTCTGATTAATTTTGCAAAACTCTATGGAAACTGAACCCTATTATTAGATACAATTTGAGTTTGACTGTGAAAAATAACTTGTTTCACATAATTGAGACCATCTTCCATGCAAAAATAAGCATTCTTTCAAGGCTAAGAGGCATGTAGTCATCAGGAAGCATAATTTTTTTTAGTCAGGCAGGGAATATAACTACAAGAGCATCTGCCTCTGTAAAAAGGATTTGGGAAGAGAGGTCACAAAAACATCAGGACTATAAAAAGGGGCTATGAAAAGAAGCCAAAATATTTTATAATCCTGAACTGTCAAATGATGATGAAGAAATATGTAAAGACAGAGCCATTGGTTTACAAATGAAAACACAAGCATAAAATATGATCAATTCTACAGGACACAGGACTTCAGTGTGTTTTTAAGTCAACTAAGACAAGGAAAAAGAAAGTATTAGCTGAAAGAAGGGTTATTAACTGTAAAAAGAAGGCTTTGACTATATATTTGGAAGAATGATAATGAATTACAGGGTAAAAGAAAAATGTCATTCAGGGTTTAATCAGGCTTTCTAAATAAGTGACATATTAGTTGAAAATGCTTAAGCGCATAGAAGGTATTTGAATAAAGATAGTAAATTACAGTGTTAAATGAATAAAACAAAAACCAGTTCATGCTTTTTGTGACCATTGAGACTTACCACTTCTTTTCTCTTGTCTGATAATATTGTGACATTCTGCATGTAGAAACTGCAAGTGATCAGCTACCATTCGCTGTTGGCATTCATGAATCACTTTGCCATATGAGCTGGGATGCAAGTATTTCCGACACCGCATTTCTTCATCTTTTAATCTACCTAAAACCTACAAACAAGTTCTTATACTGAGAGCTGATGAAATACTGACAACCAATACAGAACCATGAATATACAACAGTGTATGTATGTAGAATGAGAGACACAAATGGGTCACAAAGTCAAAGAAGAGCTTGTCTAGGATACTGAAAAATTAAATTTATTCTTTTGAATAAGGCTATTATTGAATTAATACAATCTTCTACTCTGAGTACTAAGCTCAGTCACTACTAGATGTCTAATAGCACTCAATAGTTCTCTTCTCAAAATTTCTTCTTCCTTTCAACTTTATGACCTTCTTCTTTGTTACTTCTGAGAAAGTTTCACCACAATACCTAATCACATAAGAATCACTTTTCTGTTCCAAACACATCTGCTTGTACATCAACATCTGCTCAGAAGGTACAGGTGTACATCTGAGCTAGTAATAAAAACTCTCTTTATAACTTCAGTGAAGGACACAGGCATTACCATAAAATAAGTCACATGATTACTGACATAAAAGTACTCACACAGTGACTATGAGGGGAGCCTAGGGAGAGCAGTGCAGCTGCAGACTGCTAATGACAGACAAAATTAATCTGCATTTCTTTTGATCTAATTGAGCTCTTAGCCTGCCCCTCAATCTTACCTCAGGTTGCAACCACTAGCTTATGCTCCTTATGGTTAAAAGCAATCTCACAACCTTCTCCTCAACTATTCTATCTTGTTAGTGTGGACACTATAGCACCACAAGTAATTTAACCACAACCTGACTTCATTTGGCACAAAGCAAAATGAAAGACAATGCACCTCAGAGTACACAATTTTTAACAATGCTCTGTAACAACTTTACAGTATAGTCTTCTCTAGCCATTACTTACTAAAACTCTCATTTTATGCCACTACAAACAGAAAGAAAATAAGGAAGTGAGGAACCAACACTCATCAACCTGATACATGTTTTGGTTTTTGTCTAATTTTTTTCTTTTACTTTTCATGCAATTGATTTATCCTCTAACATGAAATATTTTTAAGCTGACAGTCCACCCATAGGCAAGGTTTGTAGTTTATATTCAGATTAACCATGCCACCAAAAGCATAGCTTAAACTGCATGAAAGCATAAAACGAAGAACAACTATGAGAACCGTACAGGAAAACGTATCATCATAAAACTGATAATCTCAGATTTCAGTCAATGCATGTGTACAGAAGAATCTCTTACCTTCTCCATGTATTGTGAGCAATTTGACTCTTGCAACAAATTTGAAGCCTCTTGTTTATAATACTCCCCTGTTTCATTCAGAAAAGGACACTCAAAAATTTCCTGATAAAACTAAAAGGAGAATTGTTTTTAAAGGATAAATAATGCATATACCAGATTAACTTTCAAAATTAAAATCATAAATCAGAAATGTGTATCTACCTTTAGGGGGAATTTTTTCTTATACTGTTCAACATGAACAAAGGAGTTAATAACCCCATGGATTACTTTCTGGTTTGGGTCTTCTCCACAGCGATCACTGAAACAGGCAAAGCAAACATTCATGAGAATGCAGTTATCTAGTGTAACTCATCTGATAGTCAAATGAAATAATATTGGATGAAAACATTTTCCAGTAAATTCCTCTGCTTAAATTGGCAAAATTGAAGATTAATCTTAAAATTAAAAAAAATGCACTCTTCTTTCTCTCCTATACATTTAAATTGTTGAGATAGCAATTCATAAACTATTCAAAGGCATTTGCAGGTCATGAAATTTCTAAGTGTTTGCTAAGGATATAAGTATTCCAAATTACATAGTCTAAGCAAGTACTTTAAAAGTTACAATAAGTTCCACCTTGTAGCTGTAGCCTTTATTAAATAGACTACCTTCACACTCCTGACACTGACAAAAAAAAAAAAAATTTTTTTTTGCAACATCACACCAAGAGGCACACTATTTTCTTTTCTGAGTATTTACTATTCAACATGTAGATATCAAGTGGAACAAAAAATGTACTCGGCGCATTGACACAATTTTTAATCATACATTGAAAAAGGAAAACTTCATGTTTTCCAGTCAAGTTCTTAGCTTCAAATGAGAGTTCAAGTGAAGAAAATATTATCTTTAGTCCCACTCAGCTGAAAACAAAAGCAATTAAAACAAATGTTTTGCATGCTAAAAACATTAGTGTTCGCAAAGACTGGCAATAACAGACCCACACTGAGAGCAGCAGCAACCTCCTTAAACCATGAACTGTTCTAAAAGCGACCACCTTTCACATACACTTTACAGAACAGTAAAAAATATTCCTTAATTCCTAAGATGTTAAATAGGACTAACATAGGATTTATAAGAGTATATTTACACTTAAGCGTAAGCAGTTGTAATTTGAAAGGTTTTCCTTTTTTAAATGCATATGTACCCACACACAAGAACTTGTAGGTTTTCCTTTTTTAAATGCATATGTACACATACACAAGAACTTTTACTTTACCCAGACCACACTAAAAAGACAAAATAAGTTCTCTGTTAGAAACTTATGTTGGTATAGAAGAGTCATTTACATAAGTGATTACAAAAAAATAAAAAAAGGAAAGCTAGCAAATATACTTCAAACCCAAACATTACTATATACCCATCTAGGCTAAGGCGGAATCGGGAAACATTACTATATACCCATCTAGGCTAAGGTGGAATGGGGGAGAAAAAATTTTGCTAATTTCATTCGTTTTGGTTTGGAATTGATAAAAATGTCAGAGGATACCCAGGAGCTAGGGAGGTTTACCAGGACAGCCACATCAGAAGTCATCATCTTACATACACCAGACCATATTCATAATGCTTAAAACACTGTTAATTACCTGTATTATAAATACTACTGTGTCCTAAGATCTGAAAACTTAACCTCACGATGGGTGGAAAGAACTAGCTCTCTAACGGATTACAAGCAATCACTGTATGGTTTATGCAGCTTGGTCACCCGCTACAAATGAGCTGACCTAACAGACAACTGCTCCAGCAGGGATGGTCTGATTTTTTTTTCCCCCGGGGAACAGAAAGTTTCCTCTAGTCCTGGTAGCTGAACCAATAGAATAAATCTGGGTTTGTGTACATGTAATCACACCCTGCATTCTTGCCAATGTCCCTCTGCTGGGTTTGGTTATATGACGGCAGAGGCAGCAGCATGTCACAGAAGGGAAGAAGTGTAACACCAGACCAGGGCCTGGAGCCACCTCCATCTCAAAGGGTCCCAGGAGCACGGGAAGCTGCAGGATACATGCAGCCTGCGAACACAGCACCATGGCATGGAGCGCAGAAAGCTACACAACTAAGTTAAGCATAGTACAAAGCAGGGCTCTGCCAAGAGACAGTCTAGTCTGCCTCTAGCTTGCAGGGTTGCAGACCTGGAAAGGATGGATGACACAAACACAAGAAGCATTACTGGAATTACGGATGAAGACCCGGCTCCCCTCTGCTCAGTTCACAGGCTGCTTCACAGACCTCAGCCCATACAGATGCAGGAGGAGAGGGGGCAACAAAGGTCGGGCCCAGGGGATCTGAAGATCAGTGTATCATTAGGAAAAAGGCTGTAAAAGTACAGGAGGCAGATGCTTCACGAAGAGCTGAAAGGGAGGAGACAAGCTTTCAAAGCTGAGGCCAGATGGCACAAAGGCAAAAGATTCGAAGGAAAGCAACGTGGAACTAGCTTTGCCTGCCTTTTGGGGTAGCTCACAGTACACAACAAAGAGAAAGAATTTAAATCCACTTATGAATACAGAGGTAGCAAGGATGTGGCTGCCAGTCAAATGATAAGTTCGGAACAACTGCCAGGATCATGTAAGCTTTTTTTTTTTTGTAAACAGATGCTCACACTGCCCATTTTTCCCCCACACTCACAGAATTTTTCGTAGCTTAACATAGGTTTCCTCAGTGGGTGAGTATTACACATTTACAGCAAAGTTATCATGAAATATATTGACAGAATTATATTATGAACTTAATCACAGACCTATCTGAAAAGCTACACCATTTCCAAGATAAAAAACATAGGTCACAAAACTATAATTCTTTCCACTTTGGAAGCATCTTCTGGATTTTATTTACACCAGTGGCACTCTGTAACACAAACAGCCAGTTTCAACAAAATTTGACAGAAGTTGGAGAAGTTTCAAGTATCATTTTCATGACAGTTGTATCAGTAAGAATATCTGTCAAACTAAAATGAATGAAATCAGTGACCCCATCAAACTGGAAGCCTACTCAGTGTGTATTTTCCTTCTTGGCAGTAGTCAGCACACAATATGGATGCATACAGCTACAGAGCAGCAGCCACCCAGTTTGAAGCAAGGATGTCACAGGACAGAAACACAAGTTCCACTAATTCTGCTGCTGCTTTCTTTTTCCAAAAGAAATAGAGAAAACTACAAAACACAAGCTCAAGGACGTTGTGCTAGTTTATATTCATTCTAGTCAAGATAGAAACAAGATGGAGTTAACAGTGGAAGTTTAATATGTATTGTACAGTGCACTACTATAGCCCCATAGAACATATTTAACATACAACAATACATAATGTATTTGTTAAAAGAAGATTCCATCATTCAAAAGAAGTGCTCTGCTCTGTCAGATCTATGGCCTGTCGAGACCACTTCACTACAGAATTCACTGTGAACTAGAAGAGCCTGTTTCAAACACTTCTTTAAAAAGTTATTAACTTGCAATAGCTTTCCTTTCAAACAAAAGGTATAAATAATGGATCGGCTTAGACGGCAATAGGTTCAGTTAGTTGGAAAGTGTTAGTTATCTTTAGTAGAGAAGCCTTTCCTGGTTAGTCTGTACTAATCACACTGTCATTTGAGATAGCACCTGAATAATTTCCAAATTATTTCTGTTTAAGAATTTCATAGATGAATTTTCTCACAATTTGAGATCTTGTCGGCTTCCTGTTGTGTTGAAACAAAAATGTTTAAGTTGATACTCAGCTTGCCTTGTAGGAGGAGTGCTTGGGCTAGAGGAAGGGGGAAGAAAGCGTGTTATATTCAGAACTCTATATTAAGAGTGCAGTCAGACAAGACAGGCTTAAGTAATTTAACAAATTCTCTGCTGTTCAAGGGGCTAATCCTGCTCCCTTTTGCTCAGTCACAGGCCTCTGTATCTCTCTTGCATTGCTTTGGCACTCATTTAATTCTCTGCTGAACTGACTCATCCTGCCAATCTGGATAAATACTAGCCAAGATGGTTTTCTGTCATATTAGTGGTTGAGTTGATTCTCTAAGGGACTAGATGAGCACCAAATTCAGCACGAGAAAGGTAGTAGAGCACAGCCTGCTCTGTTTTGGCATCAGCAAACTCTTAGGTGAGTTTAGCCATCATGTTCAATGAAACCACAAGTCACTACTTGTATTTCTTTATTTTCATGTACCAAAAAAGCTTATTGATAATTTTATTCTATAGGGTATTGCACAAGTCTATAGCCAGTCCATGTCCTCAAGATTTTAGTCAGAACTCTTTAAAATTCCAGTTAAATACACTGATAAAATAAAACCTGAAAGCAAAATTTATGGCTCTGTTCCTGCTACATACTTTTATATGCAACCAGTTGACTACAATGTTGGTTATCAACTCCACATATTGTTGGATACTATGCAAAATCTTCTGGTTATAAGAAGTTCAACTGTTCCATCTATTTAAATTTAAATTTGTTTGTAAAGATTTTAATATATTCAACCATGCACACACAAAAAGGCATCTAATCGAGAAGTTTAAGTATATACATGTATTAGTATTTTTATTACATTTTTTACATAATAATCTTCCTATGCATATTCTTGCACCTCTGGTAGATGTAACTTTCTGATATCCATCTCTTCAAACACCTTGTTTAATCCCCAGATTGCTGAACTCAATGCTAAAAGACATTTAACAGCTGTTTGCAGCAAAGTCTTCAAAATTGCCTCTTACAAACTATATTGACCACTGGAACCATAGCAAAGAACAGCAACAAGCCCATAGTTACATGCAAAGGCCATCCTCAGAATACCCATAGCAAGCTCTACATTTCATGACACGAGAAAGAACAGCTATAACAAGTTCTCTCACATAGTTCATTACATGATACGCAGATCACAAAGCGGCTCAAACAAACTTAATATGAATTGTTAGAAGTATATTTTGAGAAACAGGGTTGAATTAACTTCTTTGAGATCACACAGAAGAATCCTTAATAATGGAGGGAAAAAAAAATCCAGAGACAATGACTCAAGTTTTATTTAAAGCTTTCCAAACGGTTTAATAACAAACAACATTGACTTGTTAAAGAGTCGCAAGACCTAGCACCCCCACGGAGCCAGTGACAGTCTTAATCTAAATACCCTTGTGAGGTCTGCAGTCAGCCTCAAGGTAAATACATACTATTGCTCTTAAGAGGCACCAGAAGTCTACTGAAAAAGGTTTTAAAACAGAATTCCACTCCCACCTGCCAGTGAAATATACAGATTGACTAAAACGAGTCTTCAATGTCAATGTGCTTGATGTAACAAAGCAGAATTTTCTTCATCATGAATTAGGGAATCTTCATTTAGCAAAAATAAATTGTTATAGTAAACATATGGATAAAGCAGTATTAGCACTGGTTACAAAGGAAGTATGGTTCAACAACTGAAAGCAAATGAATGCTTTCTGGCTTCAGAAATACCATCTGAGAGGGACATCATGTCAGTTACTTAGTCACCAAAAATTTAATTCAGGAAGGAAAAATCAAATTATAAAATCAGGTTTTTATTGCTTTATAAATACAGCTTTTTTTTCTGACCGAGTGCACCTCAATTAGTCACGTTACCTCACTCTCTCACTTTACCTACACTAGCCTGGTCACCCAAGTCAAGCATGCAATTACTTCAAAAAAACCCAGTCATTAGGCAACTCCAGAGCTACCCTAAATAGCAGTAAAAATGCAGACACTGATGGAACTTAAAACTACACATAAGGTCTGTAGTACAGTTCAAAATTCCTGTTTATTAAAGAACAAAAAGATCCTTTAGGAGTTAAATAGTATAAAGGTTTTAAATCAAAACTTAAAAAGCCCCAAGCCCTGTAACTACCAGGGTCTTTGTTTAAAAGTATTCAGAAATAAAATCATAAATTCCCTCAAAGTGGAAAAAAAAAAAACAAAAACTATTTCATTCAAGTAAAGTACCAAGAAAGTGAAGTCACTCATCAGAACAACAGAAACCCAGAAGCTTAGTCTTCCTGCCAGATAAGCAACAATTGGCTTGGGTCCCATGCAAAGCAACATAGCTTTTCTGTCTTTGGCAAATCTTTGCATAAGTCCTGGTCCTTAAGTTTACCAACAGCACAGAAGCCATAAGCACTCAGCATCAGGTGGAGAAAAAGGCAAAAGGCATCTTATGAGACCTGGAGAATTATTCTAACTACTCCCCAGTCCCATTGATAAGGAAGGCTGCTGAAACAGAAAAGACCACTACCCTCAGATTACGGTGACTTAACTTTTTACTTTTCAGAGTCTTTTTCTACACATGCAAACCACAAATAAATAGCTACAATGAGAAAAGCTGACAGAACATCATCACCAGGTAAGAAGCTACCTTCAAAAAAACCCCAGAACTTGGTCATAGTCTCCAGACTTTTCAAAGTAGAGAAGTACAATAACCCCACATTGTGTAAAAGCAAAAAATAATCAAGCACTCACTTTTTTATTTCTCGGAGGAGCATTCGAATAAGGATGGCCTGCAGTGGCTCAATCATTAATTTTCTCCACATATCAAGAGCTAGCTGTCAGGACACAACACAAGTTTACATCAATAAAAAATATCAAAACACCCCTTCCCCCCAAACAACACCAAAGATGATGCAATTCCTCATTCAGGATTTTAAAAATTAAACTGTTAAGACACCCTCTTCTTTCTCCTTTTTAAATTATTTTGTTTGCCTCACACACACACACAATTTGTCAACATATATTATCACTTTTCTTCCTGAACATCTGACTGCATGTGGATGTAGATCTGTACACTAGCAGTCTCAGACATAAAATTTCTAGTCAGGCAGTGTCTGAATGCATGCTTCCCAGACTCCTACACATCTAATAGGACTCATTTATTCCTTGGTTCCACTCTGCCAAGGATTCTCAAACGCATATAAGGACTCTAAGCAAGCTGGTTACAAGGGCAGGTTTTGAGTGTACATAGAAACAAAACACCTGCACAGTAATAAGTAAATAACATGTCTTTCTATCTGAAGTGTTTGAATGTGTGAAGACACCAGTATTTATAAAAATGATAGCAAAATAAGCTTCAGCTGACAAAAGGGAATGTCTCCTGGCCAGTTTGTCAGAGGTCAGTCAAAGAAACAGAACTCTCATATCCACCACACAGAGAACATCTCCAAACTAAGATGCATACAGCTTAAGCAAAGTCACTGGCAAGCTACATTTGACTTAAACGGAATTCAAATCATCTTCATATTCGGGATAGGTCACCCTATTCCTAACGTATCACTAGAGGGATCAGTCAACTGGACTCAAATATCTCAAGACTCTTATGCGTGAAGTAATTGCTCCCAAAACATACCATTTTTAAAAACACAAGTGTAATTATTCAAAGAAGTTTTTACATGTAAGTAAAAAAACAGATTTAAAGCCCAAAGGTGATAAATGTGATCATTCAT